CTGTGGGACCATCGCGAGGACATAACACCGTTCCTAGACCACCTCAACAGCCTCCGACCCTCCATCCAATTCACAATGGAAACAGAAGTCGACAACAAACTACCATTCCTTGACGTCCAAGTGGAGAAATCTGAGGAAGCATTCAGAACATCGGTCTACCGCAAACCAACAGCGACCGACCGCTACCTCAACTTCAAGTCACACCACCCAGACACAGTCAAGAAAGGTATCGTAAGATGCCTGCAGACCCGAGCCACCAACATCTGTGGAGACGAAGCAGCCAGAAAGATGGAAATGTCACGCCTTACCAGCACCTTCAGGAGAAACGGATACCCAACGAGCTTCATGAAACACAAACCCAAGGAAGCATCCCAACAACAACCAAGGGATAAGCCAATCGCGACAGTATCCCTCCCATACAACAGAGGACTGTCAGAGAAGCTAAGGCGAATCTGCGGAGCATACAACATCAGGACGGTGTTCAGAAGTACCACCACCCTCCGCAGGTCACTCACAAAGGTCAGACCGCCAACCACCAAGGAGCAAACAAAGAACTGCATATACGACATCCCGTGCAGCTGCGGCAGGTCATACAAGGGCGAGACTGGCCGCCCACTGGCGGTCAGGCTCGAAGAACACAGGAAGGCCACCATCCGAGGCGAAACACTGAAATCCGGTGTGGCGGAGCATGCATGGTCTGAAGGAGATCACAGACCTGCTTGGGATGATACCACCATCATCGACAAGGAGCCACACTGGAAAATCAGAAAAATCAAGGAAGCCGCACACATGGCGCTGGCTAGCAACCCCATCAGCAAGCCAAGCGTTGACATCAGCCCAATATGGCTCCCACTACTAAGGAAATCACAAAAACATCTGGGGGATAAATGACACCAAGTTTCCAGCTCCATAACGATGTCTGCCTCGATAGTGGAGTGGTTAGAACCGTGGACTATCACCGGGGAAACCCGAGTTCGATTCCCGCTGACTACAGGAGCTTTCGAACGGTATGACGCGTACGGCGCAACGCCACCAGTGCCGCTCTAATGGTGTCCAAAGTGACCTTTTTCCCTTCCAGGTACATGGCATGCACCATTCTTCTGAACGCGCACTGGTCAAACTCGTCGAAGTACTCGCGTGGCCCCCTGTTAGGGCGCTGGCGGGCTGGAGACTGGCATCCATGTGTCTCTATTCCACTCTTGAATGCATTAACAGAGGCAATCGACACTCCAGTAGCAGAGCTGGTCTCCTTCGCTACGTTAATGCTAGCCGCTGCACTCTCATCACCTTGCTTGAGGTATTCATCTTTCTTTCGAATAAAATATTGGTAAACATTATAAACCACTTGTCTCGCTTGTGCACCGATCGGTTTTCCTTGCCGAAGTTTTGAGAGCATTGCATATTATTGTATACGAATGGATATAAATTTCAAAAGATATATAAAAGTCTCAGATTTCCTTGATACACAGCAGACATATGGTGTGTTCGCTTTTAGAGCCAGTGGCAATGAGCGTGACGCTTGATTTTTATTATCAAATTGTGTGACGTCACGTGCTAAGTTATCTGCACATCTTGGAGTGAAGTCTAAAGATAAGAAAAACGGACTATAGGTATGTATATAGCATGGATGATATAACACTGGATTGGTGTCTCGTGGAAATTAACATTGGGATCCGCGACATTGGGATCAGGCCTGCCATCTAGCGAGAGAATTATCGTAGGAGCAAGCCGAGTGAATGCCATCTCTCAGCATTATGACACACGTGGGTGTGGTGTGTTAGTTGGCTCGAAGTGCATATTCCCACGAGTTGGAGGTAATCTTACTGGACCTGAGACGACAAAAAATGGGTAAATGTCAAGTTTAAAGGGACCCTCCCACCTTAACATTAGTTTTGAGTTGAGATAGCCAAGTTTGCGGCCAGGCTCAGAAATCACCATTTATCCTGGTCGCAACCCCCGCAGCTTTATGGTGTTCAAGAAATTTCTTCCCTTTACTTGCAGGGTGGGACCAGCGTGGTCCCTATCTCTTAACCATTACGGGAATCTGATGACGTCATCAGGCTTTCGAACGTCCGTTAAATGTTTGACTAAAACGTTTTGTAGCACGCGGTGGTATATGCTGCTTTGCGCGCAACAAATGCCGCACTTTCAAATAAAGTCGCTAGGAACAGCGGAGATCCCAAAATGTAAACAAAAGTAAAAGTCTAATATCTTGAAAACCGGTGAATATTTTTCGATGAAATTTGGTAGATATTCGTTTTTGCTCCTTCTGAACCGAGCGACATCACTTTCATGCCAATTCATTAACTTTTTTGAAGGTGGGAGGGTCCCTTTAAGTCCTAAGAAGATTTCATTGATAAATTTTTCATATTTTTACATTATTTGACATCCTGAATCCAAAAATGATACTCATATGTCTCGCAAATAAAAGAAAAAAACATAATCAAACCTGACCTAACCTTACCTACTTACCTATAACCTACAACCTACAAACCTACCCTAACCTAACCTAACCTACAAACCTACCTACCTACAACCTAAAACCTACAAACCTACAACCTAACCTAACCTAAAACCTAAAATTTTTGCTGTTTCATATTCGTATCAAAAGCGCCACAGTTGTAGTTAGGACCTAAACTTGACATATACCAAAAAATGTCTTAAATGCTTTAAAGATAAAACGTCAAGCAGCCTTTAGGTAATAACGAAAATAAAATGCGCAAGACGGCGTGTAGGTATTGAACCGCCCAGTCCCATCAGCTTGTACGACCTTTTATATGGTCATGTACTCACATTGGTACAGCAGTTTGACAATATGTCATACATATTTGGTAGGCTTATTCCTTCTTCTCCGAATTTCGCCCGATTTTCTTCATCTTAATTAATGTTACGGCACGTGTCACGTGCCAACTTAGGGGTGTCGAAATTGTTCTACGTAAAGTAACTCCACAATGGCTGGGCCCATTACAGTAAAACTTCGTCAATAGTTAGGCACCCAGTGGCCAATGCATTTCCATGTGTCACTATGGGGGTGCTACTGCACGTGCGCACGTGCGGGGTGCCGCTTCCATATCTCAAGAACGGCTGGGCGGATAACACTCAAACTTGGTACACAAATGTCACATCGATGCTCGCACTGCATTGATCACTGATCAGTGCTTACATTGGAGTCGTTAGGAAAACGATGAAATGAGATGCGTGGTGTTTATGCCTTTCTGTTCCAGCAGTTGATTGATCCGCAACAGTAGACCCTTGTTTGTGAAGGATTCGTCTCCCTTTTCCACTCCTTGTTTAAAATGACATTAACAATGTACGAAGAAGCTCAAACATCAAAGTTGTTTTAGGCGGCTATCTTGGGCCAAGGCTGCGGAGTTGTAGTCAGAGCCAGCGGTTCTGTTCCGACTCGGAGTCGGTTGATTTTTAAAAGCTGTAGTCGGAGTATGAGTCGAACGTCACCGAAAAGTCATCGACTCCACAGACTTAGCAGGGCTGCAGAGTCGGAGTCAGAGTCGGAGTCTGTGTGAATCGACAGTTCTGCTCGGAGGAGTCGGAGTCGATATTTGGATACCGGAATCGGAGTTGGAGCCAAAGTCACTGAACTTTCATCGACTACGCAGCACTGGTTAGGTTCTTTTCATAGAGCGTCTTGAATGACATATTGAGCGGCAATGACGTTAGCAATTCCGTTTAACCTTTTCATTAGACTTATAGATAGTACCTACTACCTACGTACGTTCAATTTGTTCTTTGATCGGACACTTTGTTTGATTTAGGCCAAGTAAAGACTCGTGTGAAAAATAGCGTAAACGACACGTGCTGGCGAAGTCTCCAATAACTCCTTGTTTCACGAACAAGGAGTTATTGGACAGGAAATAACAGGGAACCGCTTATCTTATTACTGACCCTGCACATAAATTTAATAATTTCTTCGCTTTTACTGACATATAAAGACATACCCTTTTGAAAAATTGCACAACAAGCCTGCTACTACACCGCACCCCCGTGTGTCACAATGCTAATCAGCGGCGTTCACTCGGCTTGCTCCTAACTTACGATAATTCTCCCGCTAGGTGGCAGGCCTGAGCTCAATGTCGCCAAAAACTGTGAAGACACCAATCCATTATTAGCGCTCACCTTTGCCGTTCCGGGTGTCAGAAGATGGTTTACTTACGGATTGAACTTCCCTTCTAACCTGCTTTCGCGTTTTGGCGTATCACGGTCTCGACTTCTATCTCGTCCCTTTGTCGGTTCTTGCTTCCTTTCCGTATCTGCTACATGCTGAAAGACCGACCCGAAGGGCAGATAGAAGGAGACTGGAAGGACGTAGGACAGGTGGTATTGGGCAGTGGGTGGGTGGGAAATTGCTCTGGCGTGCCGTTGTCGGGCGGATGTTCAAACAACAGGCTGTTGCGGCGTTGCCGTTCCGCGAAATAACAAAGCGCATAATAATTAGTTAATATTGATTTCGTGGTGGTAGGGCAGTGTACAAGACTGGCTAAATATTCGATAAGTATTAAATAATAAAGCAATTTTCCCATAGAACTTGTTTTCAGGCTGCGCTCCCTAGATATATAATAAACTCTGGCCGCTCGACGCGCCATCTATGCTCCCGTGTACGGACACTCTCCACGCGGGGCCAGTAGGCACCCGCCCGTCGGTGTGCGTGGGCCGGCCGGTAGACACCCGTCCGTCCGGCGCTAATGTTCCGTGCTGCATCGCGTTGCACAGCACGGTGCCATTAGCGCTCACCTTTGCCGTTCCGGGTGTCAGAAGATGGTTTACTTACGGATTGAACTTCCCTTCTAACCTGCTTTCGCGTTTTGGCGTATCACGGTCTCGACTTCTATCTCGTCCCTTTGTCGGTTCTTGCTTCCTTTCCGTATCTGCTACATGCTGAAAGACGCCAAAGAAACGCTTCGCCGCATGCGTCCGAACCTGCCGGTCCGATGAAAAAGAAATCGTCCAGATAGTGATGAATGTTGGCGTGGTTGCGTGGTGTCGTGTGGCAATTGCGAGCAGATCGGCGAAGTCGTTGAAGATGGAACAGGCTGACCGCAAACCGAATGGTAGCCGGAGGTCAACATAATATGCTCCCTCCCAATGGTGACCGAGCAGCCAGCGCTGTTCCGCGCGAACGGGGATGAGTCTGAAGGCATGTCGGAGGTCGGCTTTTGCGAGAAGCGCGTTCTGGGGTCCGGCGGAGAAGATATGAGCAATAGCACTGTCCATGGAGGTGTAATGTACGGCAAAGGAATCCTTGTCAATGTGACTGTTGACGCTGAGTCCTTCCGGTTGGGACAAATCTAGAATCAGGCGGACGGAGCCGTCGGGCTTGTCTCTCGCCCCGAGCGGGTTGCAGCGGAACGGGGAGTACGGTGGTGATGGGAATGGGCCAGCCGTGTGTCCCCGTGCCACCTCTTGTTGCACCGCCCGGGAGACTGCTGCCGGTCGCGACCGAGCCGAGAGGTTGTTGGGTCGCCAGGTGGATATCTGTGGGCCCGTGTATCCTATGTCGGCTCCGCGCTGGAGACGGTCGAGGACGGTACGGAGAAGGCCGGGATCGACTGCTGCGGCGGCTACGCCATGTAGGGAAGGTATGTCGATAGGTGTGGTAGGAGGGGGCAGGGATGACCGGATGAGGGCGTGCGACTGGCTTACCGTGGGATCTACCGCCACAGTGGGCGGGGGGGCCGTGCTCCGGTCGGCTGCGGAGGGCGTGCCGGCGCCAGGGGGCGCGCGCTTTGCGTCGGGCAGCTTCTGGCGGTGTGCGGCCCTTGGCAGCGGTGGCAGACGTGTCGGCGCCCGCATGCGCCTCCGGGTGGGCATGATCGTGCGTGG